GTGTAATACGGGCCTTTGGTCCCGGCCTTAGAAATGGGAAGGTCCATGAAGCTGGCCCCCTCACCATTACAGAATCAAATCAAAGTAGTACTAGAATTTTTTACTGTTTAAATACTAATTACTACCCCCAACCAATACTTTAGCCCTAATCTTCAGCCAAAAATTGTTAGCGGGGAGCTTTGATATCAACACAATTCTGTAACACATAATTCAGTAACAATTGCACAAATCAGCGCACGTATGAGAGAAATTATTTTGAATGTTTTTTTTTTCTTATGCGTGAACATGATTTTGTTGAAATTTAATTATGCCTCTTGAAATTTTTTGGCAAAAATATAAATTACGTTAGAACGTCGCCGTTGCGGTTTATGTTTTTCTTGAAAATTTTAATATTTCTGAATAGTATTGTTTCGTGTGTTAGCCATTAAATTCGGAAATCCCATAGTATAAAAAAATCGATTCGCTGGAAGTTCGTATGTGCGGCGAATATTCAAGCGCACATGGTGAATTATTTTATATAAAGTGTCCTGTGAAATAATGTAAAGATATAATTAAAGCCCTGAGATTTATAAGTTAAAAAATAATACAAGGTTACTGACTCAGCCGAGATATGTATTAGAGGGAGAAAATGCAGGGAATATTTCAATATCTTTGTTAAAATCAGTATTGATTCACTTTTTGTTACTCTGTTACTAATTGTACAGGAACAGGTATGCAGCATAACATATTTTACTTGGGACATAAAATTGAGTATAGATATTAATAATGTCATCGGGCAATGCTTACACTTGATGAACTGATAACTATTACAACACTTGAAGTAACACGTTATAGACATCCTTATTGGGTGCAAAAATTTTCCCGCGCTTGAGTAAGTCATTATTGACAAAAACTCTTATTCGTAACTCAAAAGAGGTAAGGCAACGGTATAATTTGTACACCAAAAATAGAGGCTTATTCGAATAACGTGGGTGGGATCTGTTTATTATTTGGAGGAAAGAAATAAATAAATTAAAAAAAAAACAACGATAATCAATCAGGTCCGAAGCAATGGGATGTGTTTTCCCTTCGTACTTACAAACGGCGTCTTATAAACTTGTGAGCGGGAATTAATTATTGTGGAGAATTGTTGTTATAACGTAATAGGATCTCGGTTAGTAATTTATGCGCTGAAATACGTAGCGGCGTGCGCTTGGGACAGCTGAGCACAAATTCGCGACGTATTCAAAGCAATCGGCTCCAGAGGGCAAGGCGATGACCCCGTCTTCCGTCAAGGATACCTTTCCGTGCCAGATGTTCTTCTGGGAACAGGGCAGTGCTGTCCGATCATTGGAACTTATATCTTTGCGGGGCGTGAGGTGCGTCTTCAATCTCCCAGCTGTCCGAGTTGCGGACTACGCGAAGTACCTCACAGTGTCTCTTTAAGTATTGTAACAGCTCAACCGTGTGAAGATGTCAAAGTCTAAACCAACGAGAGCAGGTTTATTCCGGCAATGGATAGAGGAATTCCCGTCTTTTACAACAGATGGGGTAGTAATGCTGTGCTATATCTGCTTTGAGTAGAAATAGATACAACTTTGAGTCAAAATAGATAAATGAAACTAAAACGTGATTCACAAAAGTGTGAGGGGAGTAAAAACTGTTTTTTCCCGTTTATGTATGCCTTCACGAATCGTTTTAATTTCATTTTACTTTTTATAATTTTATCGGTGTATTGGAACGAATTTGGGAATGATACGAATAAATCCTAGAATTATAAATTTAAAAAAAAGTTAACGAAATTGTAATCCAATTTTGTTTAACCCTTCGAGAAGCGCACCTTTCACTGAAGCGAGCAGTCGCACGTTGTATTTTTTACAACTCTCTTCATTTAATATTTTAGCTTATTTATTTATTCTTATAAATATGATTCTTATTTTTCATCTTAAAATGTTTGTTGTTGAATATTATTGTGTTTTTTTTGGAAGTATGTGTTGCTACAAAAATTAAACACCACGTGAGGAGGTGCGGGTTCTAAACCGTACAAGGCAATGCACGCACATTCAATTCAACCTGCAGAGCCACTAACTATCCGTTCAACAATAGGGTAGAATGAGTAGTGGGGGAGAGTCAGGCGATGAATTACGTCGGAACCACATTGCCAGCTCGTACAGGATTTTTCTTAGAGATAAAAATAACAGCGCTATTGTAAATGATACAACAGCGCTTCTCGAAGGGTTAAATAAATTTTTTTACCATTTTTCAGTAGTGAAATTTACGATAAATTTTGCTTCTTGGTAGATTGCCGCAGGGAAGAAATATCATCTCTCTCAGCACGAAAAAACTGCCCTTCGTGAAGGAAATCGTAAGCGCCAACAACCACATGCAAACATTTTTAATCAAGCCTCTCAGTTCGGGAAAACAAAACCAATTATACTATGTGTCATGCATTTGCCGGCCCTGGAATTCCGTGGAATGTTGTGCAAAACGCAACAATGAAAAGATTTTTGGAAAAGTGCTGTAAGCAAAACATTCCTTCAGAATCGACATTGCGGAAAAGCCATCTTGAACCAGTATGTCAGGCAACACTGGAGGAAATTAGAGATGATATTGGCGACAAGTGTATTTGGATTTCTGTAGATGAAACTTTCGATTCACTTGGACGTCATGTTGCTCGTTTAATTGTGGTGAAAATGAGTGACAATGAATCGGTCAAGTCTCATCTTTGGTGTTCAAAGGAAATCTTGAGAACTAATTCCCAAAGTATCGCATATTTTGTAAATTCAGGGTTGAAATTATTATATTCGAATAGGGTTGAAGATCGATGGGTACTTTTAATGTTAACAGATGAAGTTCCTTATATGATTTCTGCATAGAATTTGTAAATTTAAAGAAAAGTAACCAAATGCGTCCTTACCGCCAGAACCTGCAATGACACGGTGGAATACATGGTAGAAAGCAGTGCCAATTATGCCAAGAAATATGAAAACATTGTAGAAGTAGTTAGTGAATTTGATGAGGGTGATGCACAATTTATTAAGGAAGCACAATTAGTGCTAATTGAGAAGCACCTGAAGGTATATTTGACTTATATCAATACCAATTTTACATTTCTAGCTGACACTATTCAGCATTTAGAAATCAGTTAGACAATTAGAAGTTGCTGGTAAAACGTCTTCTCAAATATTAGAGAAATTTGAAAGTGTTCTGATACAAAACCCAGGCTATAAAACTATACATTCAATCCACAATGTATCGGGTGGAAACGGTGAGCTGCCAAAGGAATGCTCTGCAAATAGAGTTGAATTGTTTAAACATGCTCTAGTGACTTTTGTTGACGTTGAAAGGTCATTTTCGGCATACAAACTTATTTTATTTCACAAGTGCCTCAAGTTTGAATGTTCCAATCATGAGAAAGCTTTAGTTATTTATTGTAATACTAATTAGTATATAGAAATTTGGACATTTATTATTGTCATTATTATAGGTTTATAAATAGTAATATGTACTTGCCCAAAAAAGTTACAATGTCATTAATATTCTCTCATGTAATGTTTTTTGGTTATTAACTAATTTTAGGTACAAGTGCTGTGAAATATATTACTTTATTCCTCAAATTTTGAGTTTTTATTGCCTTTTTCGGTGCTTATTTAAGGAATTTTAGTGCAATTTAGGCGCCTAAAACATACTTTTTAGTACCTTAACATCCGATGTCTCATTATTGCACTTAATATTTAAGAGTAGAATACCAAAAAAATATTGTATGAAATATACTAACAAAATTGTTTTAAAAAAAAGTGAATGAAGTGGGGAAATTGCGTAAACAGAAAATCTGGACTTCCCAGAGGGAAGAAAGTAAGAAAGAAAGAAATGAAGGAGTTTTCATTGAGCTTTCTACCTGACTCCACTCTTCTCAATCCCTCCAGGCTACCTGTCGCGACCGAAGCGACCCCCCCCCCCGCTCGCGGCTGGGCGAATGAACTCAGGTGGGTTCAATTACTGTGCGTGGGGAAAACTTGGCAGAACAATGCTCATTGAGGAGAGCAGGACCGGCGGACGAAAGTAGGCGTCTGTCCACCCCCATCGTGTGCTGGAATTTTCACACGAAATCTTCGTGCCAATATCCGTGGATTGCATTTCCGTCTTTCGAGCTTCGGAAGATATTTCAGATATTTTTGTATACTTAAAATTCTACACAAATGGTCTCTTAAATAGGCATACCGATGTAAAATAGCTTACGTTATTGCACTTTGAAAGTACAGAAGCACGTGTGTATTAATATGTAATGTTACTTAATAACATGACTAACGCTTGTGTTATTTACGTTTGTTCTTTGATTAATCAAGCCTGATTTCTAAAGATTTTAACAACTTGTAGTTTACATGTGCTTTCTTCTACACAGCCTACATTACGTTGATGAACTGAAGATGTTGAACAATATGATGATATGGTAAAATCTGCCAATACTACAGAGCGTTCCTTCATATTCACAAACTATACGGAAATGTAGGCAATAATTTGAGAACATATTCATTAATACAATAGATCTGTTTTTTGCTGTCATTTTCACATTTTAAATATTGAATTCGACAAAAAACAACTATATGTGTTTCACGTTTTCTTCTTGTTTCACCTCCATAACGAATGAAACAATCGGAATATAATAAAAAACCATAACACTTTTTACGTGGTCATAACTATTGGCTGTAGCAAGTGCTTCTCAGCTATTGATATACCTTTTAAAATTTCTAATAAAACAATTTAAAAACGGGAAATGAGACCAACTTATACGATAGTTTTCGATAGACGTCACAACACTTGGGACTATGGGGATTTGGATCTTCGTTCATTTGTGGGGAATTTGTGGCAAGACATCTTTAAGTTGTATTTTATTGTATTTACTAAATGTTTAACTGGATAACGCTTTATTGTTCAATTATCACTTTCCCGTATAAGTGCGTAATACGAAGTAATATACGTAGTATAGAAAAAGTTATGCAATGCTGCGGAAAATCGATTTCTAGATTTCGACGAAAATGCAAGTTTGGGGGTCACCTGATACCGAAAAAGTGTTTGTTTGTTTTTTCTCCAAAACGTCCGTCCGACGTTTCGGATGTTCTTAAGGTAAGGCAAATGGAAGAATGGCTGTTAATTGAAATAATTGAAGACAATTAAAACATTAATTTTTGTAATTTTTAGGCTTATACAAATTACAGTATTACGCATTTTCTATTGCCCAACAATGTTATAAATTTATTAGTTTTCCCTCATTTATCCTATATACTGTATTACATGTGGTATATGATATTTATGTATTTCGAATTATTGAAAACACTATCCCTGTGTGGCGATAGGTAGGATATACGAGTTGTGTAGGCTGATAGGCCATGACGGCTTATAAAATCTGTTCCACAATACATTGTGCCGTAACGAAAATAAGTTATCACGCAGGGAAGAACAGAACCCATTTCAATTTTGATTAGCATATACATTTTTTAATATAATGATGAATCAATACTAAATGTGAATTGTGTTTAATAAATGTGCTTTATATTCGAATTTGTAAAAAAACTTAAATGGCATTCCAATAATTATTAAATGAATTATTTTTCCCTTAACGCATATTTTTGTACTTTCATATGCAATTCTGGAATGTAAACTTTTTGTCTTGTATAGTGGTATTTTCTTTTCTTACTTGCAGATAAACTGCAGGTCATTTACATTATTAGAGATTCCAAATAATAATTTTGATTTCAACATTGTGTAATAATTGTAACTAGTGGTGCTAAAACAGCACGTACTTTCTTGCCCGCACTTTCACGCAAACTTACATGAAAAGTACGGAAATTGTCGAAAAATTGTTTATGACCTTATTTCAAAATCTATCTTTAAAGATATAAGATTTTAATGAAATTTCTTTCATGATTTCCTTTAATGCAATCCTTAGATCTAAGGATCTAAGATTTCATTGAAGGAAAAATCTATCTTTAATATTTTAGTTGTAGGAAGTCTCCGAAAAAATGTTGGAACTTTAAACAATTTTCGAAAAACCAGGGTTTGAACGAACGTGAGACCTGCACCATTAACCTCTTAAACATTCTTCGCACTATCCAACAACCAGATGTAATATAAAACGATGAAGCAATTATTTGAAAATTTTAAGAAGTCCCATCCAGGGACTTCATTTAAAGTATCCCCCCGCCGAAAAAAATCAAGGTGCTGCGACATCGGGTAGATCGATTGGGAAATATCAATTTTGAAGAGTATCGACTGAGCGATGTAGCCGTTAACGTTGTTCACGGACAGACGTTTTGCCGACCTTTGATTTTTCGATTTGAAGGACCCACTAAACATTGATTCTGGCTACAGCACGTGAAAGAGAAATTTGTTTTTTAATTTAGCAACTAGATTTATTCACTTTTTCGTTTCCAGGGCCCTGCAATAAGAGTTTTACTCCCGAAAATTCTGTTTTTACCCCAGAATTACATTACTTTCTAAAGTAAAAGTACGGAGTAAAACTCCGTAGCGAGAAAAAAAATAATTGATAAAATTATTTTAGTTTTTTATTCTATTTTATTGACGTAGATAAACTGTCGATTTTAAATTACTTTTCACACATTTTTTTGCTTTTAATTATTTTAATTGTTTAATTATTTTGTGTTTTGTTTTGTCTCTAAAATTATCTACACCGATGACGGCCGATATTGGCAAGTGAATGGAGCGGTTCCGACTTTTCTGAGGGAGACCAACTTCTAGATTTCAACAGGCAAATGAAATGCGCGCGCTCCGAACCTCCGAAGCTCCGATACTGCGAATCCGCCAGCGAGACCGATTCTATTCTAATAGAATGCGTTTTGCCCGGCTCTACCAACGTGACATCAAGTTAGCCCTGTGTTTTGTAGCAGGGTCAAATGAAGAGCGATTTTTGCCTAATTAATTAGCAACAACTTAATTAATTAGCAATTTAATGAAATTTTGAGTTGAATATCAACATTTTTTGATAACTTTGCTATACCAACTTTACGGACCTTTGCAAGGGTGTCGTGGGGCAGCGCGCGGGAGAAGGCGACGCGCTTCGGACCTTTCCGGGACCGATGCGCGTCGCTGTTCGCCTCTCGGTCGGTGTCGCGCAGGATGCGCGGGGCCTTCGGACCCAGAGCCCTTGCATTTTTAAGGGCGAAAAAATCCTTCCTACGCTTTTCTTCGGAGGGGAAATAAAGCCGGCTGCCTATGTTAGTAGATTTACTTACATGCAAAATATCCTCAAGCCTAAACGCCTCTGAGCTAAATTCAAATCGCGTGTTTCGTCGCCCAAGAAATACCTCCTTCGCTAGTGGGTGAAAGGAGCGTTGTGAAATTTGCGTGGTCAGACGGCGAAGACTAGAATATCAAAGAAAACAATTAATTTAATAAATTGAAAATGAGCATTTATAGTAACGTGATTATTTCCATCCTAAATAAAAGAGCTTTCGACACAAGAGGCTTAATTAACGTTTATAACAGTAAATTTGATTTTCGGTCATATGACGTTTTCTTGGGTAAAATTGGGGCCATGATTTTGCGGCCTCGTCCAACAAAGTATTTTACGGATAACGGGCCGTAAAATGCAACTAGAGATGAGGGTACGCTTTTTGTATGACTAGAGAAACCCGTAATTTGAAACTAAAGTTTTAAAGAGGCCACCAGAATTTCGTTTTAAATATTCTCAAAATAACATAGGAAGACAGGACACTGCACCTGCGATTTAATTCTGCCACTGATCATTACACCAATGTACTGTTGAATTTCCCCGTCCTCTCTCACTCCAGGCCGAAAACTTTATTTTTCAGGCTGTGCCAGTGAGCGCGAAGTCCTCCCGGTTCTCACGCTTTGAGGGGATTCTAATCGGTGTCGACTTGACGGCGCGGACGCCCCTGTTCTCCGAACTAGAGGCGTTCTCAGTGTGAGGGGAGCAGCGGCCTTGGGTTTCGCTTGCAGTTCGGCAGGTATGTTGAACCTCGCCACTTGGACCGATCTTAAGGTTTCGTGGATCACCAATCTATTCAGTCAACAGTTCGTAACGCTCGAGCCAAATACT